CGTCCCCCTCCATTCCTCCTCACCTCTCCTCACCTCCCCCCTACCCTCCTGGTATTGCTACTCCCATTCCTGTTCCTGGATCCCATGCGTCGTTAGCTCTTGTCTCTTATCTGTCCCTGTGCGCATGCTCCAGTCTAGACTGAAATGAAAGGCAGGACTGGGGTCAAGATAGTGGGGGGTGAGGAAGCCTCAAGGAACCAGAGGAGTATTGTGTTTCATTGGTGTTTTACTGCGCCCTGATTGACTCATCCCTTCCCTGTGACCCCGCTGTGAGGGGATGTCCCATTGTCTACAGATGGGCTTTGGGTCTCTGTCCCGACCCCCACCCCACCTTCTTTCTCAACAATATGGTTTTTTGTTTGTTTTGAGTCTTCTGATGCCTGTTACCCTGTCCTGGCATCACCTCATTATCACACAGGCAGGTGTGCCTCATCCACGTGGGTTTTGTTGCTTCTCCGCTTGTTTAACTTCAAGCCTTTAAAACCACAGATGCTATATCTTTTGATAGCCGGCCACCATCAGCTTTCTTCACCACATTTGCCTGTGCACCCATTTTGTCTTCAGCGATTGTGTCAGGAAGTCCCACCATCTTACTGTCGACCTTCTTTTCTACAAGTTGAGAACCTCCAGGTCAAAGGCCCTTTCTGAGTACCACTTCCCCTATCTCAGTGCCAACATTCCACCCCTGCCAGTCTACCACCCCACTGCTGCCAAGGCAGGCTTATACCTCAGGGTCCGCCCTGATGGTCACATCCCTGCTCACTCCAATCCCTCATCTTGAGCACTGCTGCCCTCCCAGGACAAAAGCCTAACCCTGGGCAGACTCAGCTTGCTACCTCCTCTGCTTCTGCACCCAGGAGGCTGAGCACACAGGAGTGCAACCCACGGGAGGTGCTTTCTGGCTTCTAGCAGGAGTGCTCTATACATCCACTCCTTTCCAGGATCCTCTCACTCTTCCCAACAGACTTAACAAAATGATATCTTCTTGTCTTCCCCTTCATCCACTGTGGTAATTACATAATCTATTACCAATTTGAGGCTTAAGAGTGAAGGGGTGTAATACAAGAGCACCTTGCTCAGCTAAATGGTCATTTCATGATATCTACCTTCCCGACATGATCGCTGAAGACAGATGTGTGCATAAGCAAATGTGGTGAAGAAAGCTGATGGTCCCCGGCTATCAAAAGATATAGCATCTGGGGTCTTAAAGGCTTGTGGGCAAACAAGCGGCCA